GTGGAGAGCGGTGTTGGCTCGGAGCCAACTTGCGCAGCTTGTTTATTGAGTTGGGCCCCATCGCCCATCTCACCGTCAGCTCGAAAATGAGAACCCCAAGACCCGAGCTTTGTCCGTCCGCTTCTCAGTTTTCAGCGAAAGAAGCTCAACGTCAATATAGGTACTCGTCCGTTTCTTCGAACGAGAAAAGTAGTGCAAAAATGTACATTTTCCTGCGTCACAAAATTCGTTTTTGCACGATAAGAGCGACTTCGGTGAAACGTGCTTCTTGTTGCTTCCACGTTGGGTTGCTTCTGATTAATTCTATTCATTCGATCAGACACGTAGCCAGGAGAGCTTAGGAGGGCTCTAGCCACCCCCGCCTCCGAAAGAAATAAAAAGGTATTTTTTAAAAAAAAAATCGGGTGCGGACCCCCAAACCCTCCGTATTATGAGGAGGACAGCTCCCTCTCACCCGACAAAGCCCCCTCCCCGCCTCGAAACAAAATCCCAGCAACACGCCTGTATTCGATGCTGGGACTATCAGGAAACGCGTAAGTAGATCCTGACATTAAAACAACTCTTCCGTTGTTTCGGTTAATTATTTATTTTTTAAAAATAAAATCGAGTTAATGCTCTGGTTCCAACTTTTTGCAGAATACTTATACCGTAAGTTAAAATCGGTAAAAATTCCGAGAATTAGTGTTCATTGGCTGTTATGATAAAGAAAGACTAAAAACCTACAACGTCGCAAATCGGCTTTAACCGGCGATTTGCCAACATCATACACAGAGGTTGAATGCACATGGATTAATTTTTTCAAACTCTCGAAGATTTAAATTATTGTGGGAGTAGAATGGGAAACGAAATACCTACATTGATATTTAAAAATTATATCAAAAGAATATGCAAGGACTACTCGTCGTACGGTTTGACGCGTTTGGCGGCTTACAGATGCTTTTGATAAAGTATTGAATTTTGAATCATATTTCAGTGAATCATGACGCAGTTACATAAGCGAAGGATAGGCAGAAAATAGAGGAGCGAAGATATTAGTGAATGTCAGAGAATTTATTAATGTAGAACCTGCCACGTGTTTCCTCTGTGTTCTATGCGTGAAAAATTTATATGGTTGTTTCTGCCATCTGCCCGGTTCACGTCTTTACAGATGCGTCGGAACAGGTTCTTTGAGGCCGATAAAAATTAGAAGAAATGTTAGAAGGGGGAAAAAAATCTAGGTATGTATGAGATGACTTCCCGCAGACCTCGGAGCACATGTAAAGGTAATTGCCCTCTTTCCTCTTGAGGTGAAAAATAAAGGAGCGTTCTGCTATATGCCACCATTTCCGTACGCTCTTAACCGCAAGCGTCTATGGAAGTCTAATAAGGCCAGACTCAAGGTTACCAGAAAATAATTGTTCAAGCAGATTGTCGCGAGACAGATCCTCGGCTTGCATTAATTTCATTGCAAAAAAAAAGTACCGACACCCAACCAGAATTTTAAGTACCGCTCACGAGTGCAAAATAGCATTCAAAACCTATTCGACGTTAGGTATTTTCTCGAGGAATAGAGAGAAAATTTTCAATTTGAATTACAGATTTCCTTTAATTCGCTTAGAATGCGAAAATGTAGATTACTATCTCTATCCTATCTGGATCTGCCGGTTGTGGTGTGCCCTCAGGTCAAAAGGGTCAGTTTTTTCTCGCTCTCAACTCCGGATTTTTTTTCAAACTTCTCCCGACTTCCTTAAAGGTTAAAATTATGCAAGGCGCTCTTCAAAATGCATTAGATTTAGATTTTTCGGTTACCTACAAAGAAAAATGGTCAAACTCGGAGGCATTCCACTAGAAAGACGTTGCACCAGCAAAATTGAGTGTCGCCAACTATTCTCGCATCAGAGAGTGATTGTTTGCCTAGTTTACTAAATGAAGGCACTTTTTTGGATGAATCGATAATTTGATGGAGCTCTATGCTGATTGTGCGTATTACACCGATGAAATTACCATTCTGCCACTTCTTAAAACTTTGAACTTTTTTTAAATAATAAAGCAATTTGATTGATTTGATGCACAATTTCGACTACGAAACTTCGGGACTACGACCAAAACTAATTTTTCGCAAGAGTTACATCTACTACCTATCCTGGTTTTAAACCTTATAGTCGTAGAGCTATGAAGCTCTCATAAGGATAACGACCCAACAGATTCTCATAACACACAAGATGAGACTTTCTGGAATAATCTCTTCCTGCAGGATCCGAGGAAATTAGAGACGAATGTCCAGAGCGAGGCAGAACAAAATATCAATAAATTCTGAATAAAAAAAGTATCTTGGCAAGAGGCCATCGTTCAGATTCTCCTCGCGCGACGAAAATTGCACTCACGCGCTGCCGTGCTAAGGAAGAACGCCGTATGAACATTCGAGAGTTGCCAAATTTTCTTCGATAAAAAGTTTATTTTCGAGGAAAGTTATGGATATTTTTCCTTGAAATTTTCAAGAGCTCCAGGTGAAATTGCGAGCAAAATTGTCTGAAAAATTAGATGGAAAATATTCATAAGTTTATCAGGAAATTCGTGTTTTATCAGAGGAAATTTGACAACGCCTGAAGGTCCATACGGCGTTCTGCCTCAGCACGGCCAGCGCGACTCCCACGTTGGTGACATCCAGCGAACATGTCGTCAGAGGAGATCGACGACCAAGGGCAACAGTCAGGAATAAATGTTTCTCGAGTATCTTGAACTTTTGGACGGTTTTCAAAAAACCGTGAGACAACTGGTTTAATTCTGACATATGTTCAGAGCGAGACCGAATCAAAATTATTCGAGTTTATTTTTTCGAATCGAAAAACTCGGCCTTACAAGAGCTTTCGACAAG